CGTCATCATCATCATCAACAACAACATTATCATTATCATCAACATCATCATCACCATCACCATCATCATAATCATCGTCTGCATCGTCCTCATCATCTACATCATCCTCATCAACTTCATCATTATTCTCATTAATATCATCATCATCATCATCATCATCACATCATCATCATCATCATCATCATCATCATCATCATCGTTATCATTAGTGTCATTGTTCCTCAAGAAAGGTCTCGCCAGTACTTCCGGTCGTCTGAATCCGTCTTCATGTTGTTGCAATAGTTTCCTCGATCCTGGGTATCATTAAACAGTATCGTATCGTATGCAATCGTTTTCCCATTCTATGATAGTTTGGCAATCGACATATAGTATTGGGGAATTGAGTATGGAGATCATCATTAGCTAATCAAGGCACAATATTAATTATCAGTGTTTGTCTCTCTCTACCCAGGAGTAAGTTATTTATTGGTTTACCTGGTAAGTTCGAATATTAATGTGCTAAGTACTACCTTATATAAATATTACTATATAATAAAAATTACTAACTTATGCAAACAATTAATCTTTGAGAAGTACAAGGCAAAAAAGGTACAAAAAAAATGTTGTGTTGCCCTTACATGAAAAAAATCGAGATTATCGGTCGGTCGGATTCCACCCCCCCCCTTTTTTTTTTTTAGCAATACCTGAAATGGGATAGACCTCAAAGCGCAGTCCCTATTATGAAGACCAGGCCTAAGGGCTCGTAGCTCGTAGGCACCACAATAGAACGATGACAAGCTTGCCAAACAAAAAAATATTCAAATTAATGACGGATTATACTAACCAAGTGTATATTGAATTAAATTTAACAAAAATAAATCAGTTTTAATGAAAGTTTTATTTGGCTTCGAAACGTAAAACAATATGTGTATCCGATCCATAAGTTCACGCACTGGCAGGTCGAGCAAAACCATACTATGGCTATGAAAAATGTCCAAACAAGCGCCCTATGTAATACAATCGAATAAAGAAAGGAAAATAATTATTTCGTTCATGGTTGGCCGTGAACGGAGCCTGAGTCTAGCTATAAGTACCGGCTTTAAAGCGCAGGCCCGTAGCGTGACTTAGTTTGTGGGAGGTTCGTTCCAGTTGAAAGTGGACTCTTTGGCCTGTATGATCTCCGATACTCTGGAGAACATTGTAAATGTATCTACGAATATTAATTTTTCGTTTTTAAATGTGGACCTTCTCCAATTTTTGGGCGCGGTTCGTCGTAACCCCTTAACCCCCCCCCCACACACGCCACAGGCCTGAAGCGATGGCTAGAGCTAAGTCTGTTTTTATTTATTGTCCAATATACCGTAAGGTATGGTATTGCTCGAAATGTACTTTAAAAAAAAAAAAAAATGCCGACCTGAATTTTTTGGAAAATTTCGGTCGGTCGTGGAGGGCAACACAACATGTTTGTTTTTTGTTTATGGTCCAATGGTAAGACTATTTTCATGAGTTGAATTGTTAACTGTTCATTCAACGAGGTGGCACCGAATTGAATGGAACAATTCACCTTTGAAATAATGATAGTATCATTTCCATTGCATGAATAAAATAATTTATTATTCGTTTAAGATACACCTAAAATTGAATATCATTTGATATTTTACATTAAAAAAAATAAAGATAGGTCAAACTTATTGCCAAATGGAACAGTCCATCTTCTTTAAACGAATAAAAACATTTAGTAATTTCGTCTCTATAATTTCAATAAGGTGTTTTCTGTAGTTCTGATGTTCCATAAACAAGTGAGCTTGCAAGACCGTTGTCATTCATTCATTCATTCGATCAATAATCAACAAACTGTACAGTCATACAATTTAAATAGGAACAAGAACAAAAATTGATTTGAAAAACGTTTAAAACTAGATAAAAGGTCTTAGGAAATGGTTAAAAAATGATAAAGAGAACAAGATTGAAACAATGACAATAAAAGTTTTATTAATAATAATAATAATAATAAGATTTATTAAGCGCACATCTCCACTAAAGTGCTTATTATTAAGATAATTACAATTAAAACTTTAAGAAATGTTTCTTAAAAAAGTTTACAAAAGCTAAATTCTCGATAAAATTGTTTTGAAGGACTTTTAAAAAGCGTTAAAATTGAAGAATTTAATTAATCATGTGAAAAATACAAGAAATAAGACATGAAAATTGTTGATTGCGATCAAGATAGCCTACAACATTCAATTGCATAGATTTATTTCCATTTGGGGTACTGAGAACATACATAAACAACGATAAAATCGTTTCGAAAAGAAAAAGAGACAAAAATCAGAGAATTATAACCTCCCTCCTCACCCCCGAATCAGATTAATCTCTCATAGAAGCCAAATGCTCTTTCACAAGTTTCTTAAAGCTACTGCTAGGTTTATTTGCTGTATCTTTTATAAGGTGGGGAAGTTTATTCCAATGTTTTATGGCAGAAGCATAAAATGTACTTTCGACGATATAAGAAGAAAATGGTGTAACAAAATTAAGCTACTATTCTGTGTACTATATGAATGTTCACTTTTGACCCTATACGGGTTATTTTGTCAAAGCATATTTTATTAGCAAAGACAAGCCAAACTAGTCACTCGTCACAAATCGTGTTTCAGAGAAAATGGCCAAAACTTGCTGGAATGTACAATTTTTAAAAATACATTTTTTGCACTAAACTAACCTTTATATATCTATACATTAATCTATGCTGTTATTTCTCCCATTTCCAATGTTAAAACAACACTTTTTAATAATTAGATTATAGTTTATGCATGAGAAATGCCCGAAATCATAAACTTTGAAGGCGGATTTCTCATATATCGTTCTTTAAACAGCTGTATGTTTAAACGCTTGTAACTTCATAAGGAAATGTCAGATTTTTTTTACTATCTTTATAGCTCATATTTTATTCTTTAACCCTGTATTAATCGATATTTGCAACGAGTGACTGGTTTGGCTTGTCTTTGCCACAGTATATTTTATTGTTACCTAGAGGGAAACATTTCTGTTAGCATTGATTATAATTCATATTTGTATAGCTGTAGTTATAATTGATAAACACACAATTTCCAACACAAAAATAGATACTGGTTTCCGTATTGATTAGCAACACAATGTATATTGTCTGCCTCTTCGTTCTTGGAACGTGCTTGATTAAATTGTCTCTTTATAACGTCCTTGTCGCATTAAACTAATTGTTTCGTTGTTAATGTATTCAGCCACGCTCAAATGTATCTTATTTTCACACAAAACATAATTGCACATGTAATTTTAGTATCATATTGTAATTTGGAATTAAGAGAAACAGTTCCAGCTAACGATCCTCTTATTGTAATTTATACCACTATAATGAAGAAGTCACCTTAATTTAGTTTTATGTACGTCGTTCCATCATAAAAATAACGGTACACAACAGAATGCAGATAGCACTACTGATGGATTTATTATAGTAATTGCTACCATTATAATGAAGAAGACGCATCAAGTTCGTTTAAATTCATTCATTGCGTATTTTATAAGAATTACCGATACTTTGAACAACAGGGTGCTAGTTCGCATCAACAAACAATAACATGTGACACAAGAATTAGAGGATTACCAACATAGTAACACTAAATAAAGAAGAAGCCACCTTAATTCAGTTATATGTACGTCGTTCCATCATAAAAATACCGGTACACAACAGAATGCAGGCACTGCACTACTGATGGATTTATTATAGAAATTGCTACCATTATAGTGAAGAAAACAACTCAAGTTCATTTCAATTCATTCATTGCGTCTTCTCATAAGAATTACTGATACTTTGAACAACAGAGTGCTAGATCGCATCAACAAGCAATAACATGTGACAACAAAACTAGAGGATTACCAACATTGTAACACTAAATTTTTGTCAAAATATGGAAATTATTGAATTTAGACAAATGTGTAACTGCTTTTTTATAGTGAATAATGATAAAATATTAGTAAAAACGCTTCCAGTGACTTGAAGTTTCACTTCGCTGTTCAAGTTGATAATGTTTTTGTTACTTCCAAATGAGCATTTAGGACATGCTATTGCACTCTCAGGAAAACATGTTTTAGTTCCTACATTTTAGAAGATTTCTTTTGTATGTTGCAACTGAACTGGCAATATTATCATGATTTTCTTTTCAGCTGTTGTGAAAAAATGAGTATTGTGGTACAACAAAATGTAAAATAAGTTATTGATAATATTTAGGTAGATAACTATGTGGAGTAAAACCGGAGTAAGGTCATTTTTAAGTTCAATAAAAACATAGGCCTACTTAAGAGAAAATCGTCTTTGACAAACTTACTGTCGTATGCCCATAAATAGTCATGGTGTGCCTATATATGGTCATAATGTGATGTCATCCTGACCATATTTAGGCACGTTTGTTAGTCTGGACAGGACTTAAGGATTATAAGATAGGGCCAAGATAATTGGTCCAAACGTATTAATGAAGATTGAACATTTGCTTTCTATTGGCTGTACAATTATATAAGCATTCACACCAAACATTCATTCATAAGTAGTATGTTACTTATAATTCTCATGACTTTGGCAACGTATTAGATCTATTTGAATTACGTGTCGAAACGAATGCTTATGACACGTGACATCTCATTTGTGATTCCGTGTTACATCCTCTGACAGTTTGTCATTCTGCTTTCTGCTACATGAAGGTAGGACACTACATCCTGATTTTAGATTCATCACACACAAACACACCCCCATCGATCCACACACACCCACACC